CGGCTACCGGCTTAGTGAACCTGAGAAGAATAGCATAAGATGAGTTGAAGAGCAGGGTGGCGGGGGTGGGGAGAGGTGAGTACGGGGAACCAGGTAACAGAAGGCATCATAGCTTGGGTTGTGGCTACATGTTGAGGATTTGTCCTCAGTGAAATGGGAACACACAGAAGAGTTTAAAGTAAGCAATTGATATAATCCTATTTATGTTTTAGGAGTGCTGGTGTGGTGCTGTGAGTTAATGCGCTGGATTGCAAGGTCAGTTTGAACCACAAGGTTGGCAGTTCAAGCTCACCAGCCACTTCTTGGAAACCCTATACAGGGTCGCTGTGGGTTGGAACCAACTCGACAGCACTTAACAACAACATGTTTTAGGAAGATTTCCTCTGGATGCTATATGGAATACATGTTTGCAGTAAGAAAAATAATGGATATTAAGAGATTGGGAAAGAAATGCTTAAAAATGTTTTGAAGTGAGATTGGGGGTAACTCAGACAAAGGGAAGGGGGTAGAGAAGTACATGAACCTGAAAGCAGATAAGACAAGATTTGCTGGCCCACTGGATGGGTGGGGGAGTCGGCTAGATGTTTGGTTTGAGACGTTAGTTGATGGTACCATTTACTGAGATGGCAAAGTTGTGGAGAGACGAGTTTTGACTTTGAACATGTGACGTTTGAGTTCCTCTGAGCTATTTAAGTGTTCTGAACTGGAGACGTGCAGTTAGGAGTTCTTGGCTGCAGATGATTGACAGTCTCAGAAATGGGTATGATCATCTCAATGGGAGAACACCTGCTCCGCTCTGGGTACCTCAACATCGAGCAATCTGGTAGAGGAATGTAAGGGGCAAAAGGAGACAGAAGAGGAAGCCGTGGTCCACAAAAAAGAGATTGGGTGCATTACTAAATATTGCTACAGAGTGAATAAAATGAAGTACAAAAACTGAAGATCATTGGTATGTTCATATGAAGATCACTAGAAACATCCATCAGAAAGATTTCAGTGGAATGAGTTCAGGGCTTGTTGTTGTGTTGTTGTGTTGTTAAGTGTGTGGAGTCGGTTCCAACTCATAGCTGCCCTGAACAGGGTTTCCAAGGCTGTAAATCTTTACAGAAAGCCTCATCTTTCTCCCACGGAACAGCTGGTAGTTTCGAACTGCTGACCTTGTGGTTTGCAGCCCAATTCGTAACCACTACGCTACCAGAGTTCAGGAATAGAAGGACAAGAAAGTGGAAAAAATACCTATAGCTCTTTAGAAAAGTTTAGCTTAGAAGAAGACTAAAAACAGAATGGTACCTGATCCTCTATGTTTATCGATTTCTTTGTATTAAGCAATTTCTGCGTGTATTAGTTTCTTGTTGCTGCTGTAAAATAATGTACCTAAAACATGATGGACTAAAGCAATATACAGTGTTTCTCTCACAATTCTGGAGGTCAAAAGTCTGATATTAGCTTCATTGGGATAAAATCAAAACATCTGCAAGACTGTCCTTTCTCTGAAGACCCTCTGGAAGAATTAGTTCCTTGTTTTCACCCATCTTCTGGTGGCTGCTGGCATTCGTTGGTGGTGGCCACAGCACCCGAATCACTGCCATTATGGTGACATATCTTTTCCTTTCCGCTGTTTTGTGTCAACTGTCTTTCGCTCTCCCTCTCCACATAAGGCTATATTTCCAAGTTACAGGCATCTTTGGGTTGGGGAGGACATTGTTCAGCCTACTAATCCATACCACATCACTAGTTTATCTCTGAGAGCTTAAAGTAATTTGTGGAGTTGTTGATTATTTTTAAGCTCGTCACTTAAAACAAAAAAAAGGTAATCCTTCTGATGGTTTAAAAACCACTATTAAAGATTAAAATGTGATATTCCTTTTCTGCCACAGAAAAGCAGGGTTTATTAAATTCTAATTAATATCTGAGACAATACATAAATGCAACTTTCTTATGAAACTTGCCATGAATGAGTGACAGGATTAATCCATATGACCGTGAACTAAATTCAAAACGGGAGGAGTACCAATGGTTAATGCCCTGGACTGTTGACTGAGAATTTGGTGGTTCCAGGCCACCTAAGGCATTATCAGAAGAAAGGCATGACGATATGCTTCCAAAAACATAACCACTTAAAAAAACCTGTGAAGCATTTACTCTCTTCTACTCTGACACATTTGGGGTTGCCTTTAGCTGGAGTCAACTTGAATGTCACTGGTACTGTATGATTAAGACTGAGTGAGAAACACAAGACAAGGGGCTTCAAAAAGTTCATAGAAAAATAGAATGAAAAGATTAGGGAATTTTTAAATAAACTTTTTGATGCTCCCATGCACAGTGTTAATACTAGGTTGATGTTGTTGTTAAGTGCTTTTGAGTCAGTTCCAACTCATAGACAGCTAACCTTGTATAGGGTTTCCAAGGAGCAGTTGGTGGGTTTGAACTGTTGACTTTTGGTTAGCAGTCCAGTGCTTATCTTACAGTGCCACGTCTTAGTGACTCTAAATTTATTCCTATAAACATTAGTTAATATGCATAAGAATGATAGCATTTGTTCATTGTTGTTAAGTACCACTGAGTCCGGTCCGATTCATAGTGACCCTGTACAGGGTTTCCAAAGAATGGCTGGGAAGTTTGAACCACTGACCTTGTGGTTCAAACAGACCTTGTGGTTGAGTGCTTATCCTATAGCGCTACATTAGGACTCCATATGACAGTATTTAGGTAACGTAATAAAATAATTTATATGTGTGTATCAATAATTAAGAGGGGGAAATTGTGACTCTGTAGTATAAACATTGGACTTTGAACCACAAGGTCGTGGTTCAAGCCAACTAGCTGCTCCACAAAAGAAAGATGAGGCTTTCTGCTCCTGCAAACATTTATAGCCTATACAGGGTTGCCATGAGTTGGAACCGACATGAAGGCATCTAACAACAACAATCGATGAAAAGAACCTGTATCATTTTAAATAGACTCACTCAAATGACTATTTTGGTGTTAAAAACTGTATGATCAGGACTGTATGTTAATCCTTAAATCTAGACTAACTCCTATCCATCCTTTAGAACAAAGCTCTCCACTTTGTCCAAACTCCTCATTCCTTCTGCCTGAGTCTGACTTTGCACTTCCTGGCTGTTTGTCTTGGAGCCCCTGCTCCCGGCATTTCTTTTACTCTAGGAAAAACTGGTTCCTGGCGAATTTGTGCCTCCACCCTCAAGCAGGAAATCTGAGATGGAACCGAATTGCTGACAACCCGCCCAGCCCAGACTCTCCTCTTCTTTCCCTGCTCCACATTTCACAGATGCACAAGAAAACAACTTAATTCACTGGTACCTAGTCCTTCACATTTAGTAGCTTTCAGGAACATACAGCTTTTCATACAATAAAGACTGATTTGTAAACAATGGTCTTTTGTGTACTGACTCTTTCAAAAATCCACTCACATTATTGGCTTTGTTTATATAAAAAAAGCTTGTTTGTGACAAATAATACATCAATGTAAATGAAACCCACAAAGTCAAATGTGCTGCTCCACCCCAAGGCCTGGTTCCTGAAAAAAATTCCAGATCCTTAAGGAAGTACCTTCAAACACGGTGAAAACAGGGACAGAATATTACACAACACATATTCATATACTTAACTCCCTTGGGTATTTAATTGGGCAGTCATTGTCACAGCTGCCAGCCTGTTTGCCTGCCTCCAGAGACAGGAGGTATGACTGACTTAGGCAAAGTCTCCTTGTCTATTCTTAACTGTCTTTTGGCGGCAGTTCTCCTGGGCTGCTCTCAGGGTAAGTGGGGAGCAGGCTGAAGAAAGAGTCCAAGCCCAGGTGTCTGAGATTGAGTCCCAGCTCTATAACTTATTAGCTGCAGGACTCTGGGCAAATCCTTGAACTTTTCTGGCATCTCAATTTTCACAGTTCTAAAAATGATTCCAAAACCAAAAACACCACTGCCATTGAGTCGATCCCAACTCATTGCAACCCCAACAGGACAGAGGTCCAGTGTATGTAGGGTTTCCAGGACAGGAGATCTTTATGAAGGTAGACCATCACTTCTTTCTCCTGCGGTTTGAACTGATGACTTTCCGGTTAGCAGTTTAGCGCTTTCTCCACCATGCCACCAGGACTCCTTTAAAAAATTATTCTTTGGAGGTAAATGATTATCAACTACAAAAAATGTGTTAGGTATTAAAACCACTTCTTTACATAAATTATCAATCTACAAGGTGGTGGTGGTGGTGGTGGTGTGTCAAGTCAGTTCCGACTCCTAATAACCCTGTATAGGATTTCTGAAACAGTAAATGTTTATTGGAGCAGAAAGTACCATCTTTCTCCCACAGACTGGCTGGTAGATTCGAACTATTCACCTTGTGGCTAGTAGCCCAACACACAACCACTACACTACCAGGGCCTAATCTACATAAAACTAGAGCAAGTCCTTGGGTTATAAATGTTCCAATTTATGGACAACTCATACTTGCCCTTTAATGTTTTATAAACTTACCCTCTCTGAGAAACAATTGAAGTACTCCCTATGCTCACAACTTCTTCATCACAATTATCTTCACTGGCTACCTATGCAACTTTGCAATCATGGAAAAGGCTTCGAGCCTTCTCTCGCACTAAAGTAAGGCTAAAGAACAGTATGCACCTATTTTGAATTCACCTAGAAACTCGATTTAAGGACACACTTGAGAACTGATTTTGTTCTCAACCTGAGGATTACCTGTGTTTCCATTCTAAGATGGTTAAAAATAAGGACTGATGAGAAAGAATTGGAGTGGTGCATTTCCAAGATAGTGATTAGAAATGATCGTTGCCTGCTGTCTCCGTAGACATTTTTCCATTTCAATGAAAGCTAGGTATTTTCCAGCATCTATTGAGCTGTGAAGTTATTTGCTTTCACTGTAGCTGTGAAGAAGTAGAGGTGGGCCGGTTGAAGGCACCGTGGCTGCCATTACCTGTCCCCACACGTAATCACGAAGCCCATCATCAGAGCAGAGGTACTTACCACTGGATGAAGTGGGGTTCCTGGGAACATGAACTGCATCTGCTGAGCAAGCATGGCTGCTGCAGTTTTTTGCTGGATCAAATTGTTTCTCCCGTTAATTTCTAGCTGAGTTTTTAAATGTGTCGGAGGATGAAGATACTTGCAGTTCTCTCTTGAACAGCGACCCTGGAAAATGAACAGTATCATTTTAGGAATGTTATAAGACATCCGCAACTCCAATGTCAAACATTTCACAAACTCTTCAGGTACTAAAAAAGGCAAGGATTCTCAGTGTGTGTGTGTGTGTGTGTGTGTGTGTGTGTGTGTGTGTGTCAGGAGGTGTGCATGCACAAACGCGAGTGAACGGGTGCATTGCATGTGTGCGGATACGCATGTATGTGGTTTATACATGTGTATGCATGCACATGTGTGCATGCACGCGTGTGTGTGGGAGGAGGGAGTCAAGCCTCATGTGATTGTCATGGTTGCCTCAAACCTATTGTACAGAAAATAGGTTCTTGCTTATTTATTTATTTATTTATTTATGGATTCCGCAGTTGTTGCAAAGTGCCGTTAAGTGGATTCCGACCAATAGCGACCCTGTATAGGGTTTCCTAGGAGCGGCTGGTGAGCTTGAACCACCAACCTTGCAGTTGAAACAGCTCTGCAGTCTGGTGCATTAACCCACAGCGCTATACCAGGACTCCTTATGGATTCTAGACCCTGCCAATAGACATCAAAGAAATGAGACGGCTGAGGACAAAGACAGTCCCTGCTTTTAGGCATTCTGGGAAACAGGCAGAAGAGCATATTTAATGTGGCCCATCAGGAGTCTCTGGTAGCGTAGTGGTTACGAATCGGGCTGCGAACCTTAAGGTCAGCGGTTCTAAACTACCAGCCGCTCCGCGGGAGAAAGATGAGGCTTTCTACTCCCGTAAAGATTTACACCCTCGGAAACCCTGTACAGGGTCGCTATGGGTCGGAACCGACTCGATGGCACTTAACAACAACAACATCAGGAGTCTTTGAACTTGCTATCCACTGGTTTGTGCATGATGGAGTGCTGTCCAAATATGAATGCTTATGTGACAGATCTGTGCGGTCGGGACTGTGATAAGAACTTCCTGAAATGCGTTACAGATTGAAGACACCTATTCAAGTGATTAATGAAGGATGCAATGGTTGTATAGGAGTGGACATTTATTTGTAGTTTACGCATAGAGAAATTTTGCGAGCATGAACTTAGATATTCAGCAGTCATTGAGGACTTTGCTCCACAAAAGCCACTACGTCATGGCCCGCCCATTGCACAATGGTGTATTTATTACATGTGATGTAATAAGACAACATAGTCACAAGTATTTATAGCTGACATTGGTTACACTTGACAAAGTGAAAACAAAAACTTAATTAGGTGGCAGGTGTGCATCAGCTAGACCTGAAGAGTAAAACTGTAAATGTTAGTGTTTATACTGAATTCCCAAGTTTTCAAAACTAGCAATTGAGAGGAAAATGTTTGGGTGAAATACACAATTTGAAAAAAAAAAAAAAAAAAGAGTAACAGTGTCAACCAGTATGAGCATTAACATTCCCTAAAGAATAAGTCCATTTATAATTAAGAAAAAGAATGTTTTGTTTACCAGATATAAAAATAATTTACAAAGCCAGCTCAGTGGATGTGTGGAACCAAATTTGTTCACAGTCATTCTAATTCTCAACATCTGGAGCTTTCCACTGATTTCAGCTGCTCTTCCGGCTGCCCTGTCTCTCTCTACAGAGTGTGAGTCTTCCCCCACCACCATGGAGAAGGGCGGATCAGAGGCCCTGGGCTCAGTTCTGGTGGTCTCTGCTGATCAACTGAATGCTAGCTACAGGTCCTACTGTTATCAGTACTAGCAACAGCATCACCCTCGTGATGACAGGGTGCAGAGATGGGTTCTGAAGCCATCAGAAAAAAACAGGTCCTTGTTTTCTGCTTATAAATGTCTTTAACACTGTGGAGTCCAATGTTTAATGTCTCCATTGTTGTTGTTGGTAAGTGCCATCTAGTCGGTTCCAACTTATGTAGATACCCTGTAGAGGGTTTCTGAGGAACAACTGATAAGTCTGACCACTGATCTTGCAGTTCAAACTGACCTTCGGGTCTAGTGCTAATCCTACAGCCCCACACCATGACTACAATGGTCTCAAGTTTATATTGTGACTGTTTCCTTCAGACTCCTACGTAAGAATATAGATCGTAGGTTGAACATTGGAAGTTCCATTCTAAAGATCCGGAGTCCCTGGTTGGTGCAAACCCTTAACATGTTCACTGCTAACAGAAAGTTGGTGGTTCAAGTCGTTGGAATAAAAGCTTGGTGATCTACTTCCAAAAGTCAGTCAAGGAAACCTCTGTGGAGCACAGTTCTACTCTTACAGACATGGAGCCACCAAGAGTCACAGCTGACTCAATGGCAACTGCTTTGGTATTGTAACAATTCAAGTGAACTGGAACCACAACTGGAAAATACTCTAAATTCAAAAAACAGTCTAGGAATTGTACTCTTTTGTCTTCCACCTGCTTATTTCATTCTTCATCAGTAAATCTGATTTGTTTTTATCCTACCTTCACTTTGTACATGGTTTTGTGACCTCCCACAAAAGACTTGCTTTGGAGAGCTCTGGGTTATTCCCCTTTCAGCAGCCTTCCCTCTCTGTTTGCTAATATGCATCAAATTCCAAGAAAGCAATCGGATTGGGCCAACTCCTGGGGCATAGCTCTCTGACCAGGCTCTGGATTGGCTGCCTTTATGTCTGCTGCCCAAATACAATCCAATCATGTATGCTGGGAGGGGTCATGGACTAGAAAACAGCTGCTGCCCAATAAGCAGGGATGGGTGAGTATTAAAAAGAATGACAATTCGTAGAGGCTAAGGAGCTCTGGTAGCGGAGTGGTTACGAATCAGGCTGCTAACCTCAAGGTCGGCAGTTCAAAACTACCAGCGGTTCCGTGGGAGAAAGATGAGGCATTCTGCTCCCGTAAAGATTTACAGCTCGAAAACCCTGTGCAAGGGTCACTATGAGTCGGAACCAACTCCATGGTAGTTAACAACAGCAAGAAGTAACCCTTAAATTTCTCTGTGGGCAGCACTTCAGTCCAAACTAACTCTTCTTAGCATAAATGTTTCACTTGGTCAATGGCACCCAGAGAAGCTCATGTATACAAGCTCATTTATGGACCTATGCATACAAAATCACAGATGAGTCAAATAGAGGGAGTTGGGAAAACAGTTGTTAGGTGCCATCCAGTCGGTACCAACTCACAATGACCCGATGTACAACAGCAAAACACTGCCTGGTCCTCCGCCAACCTCACAACTGTTGCTACATTTGAACCCATTGATGCTGACACTGTGCCAATCCATCTTGTTGGGGGGTTTTCTCTTTTTCTCTGACCCTCCACTTTACCAAACATGATGTTCTTCTCCAGTGACTGGTCTCTCCTGATAATATAGTAAAAGTACAAGAGACAAAGTATGCTTCTAAGGAACACTCTGGTTGTACTTCTTCCAACTCAGACCCATTTAGTCTTTTGGCAGTCCATGGTATTTTTAATATTCCCCTCCAACACCATAACTCAAATGCATCAATTCTTCTAAGGTCTTCCATATTCACTGTCGAACTTTGACAAACATATGAGGTTATTGAAAATATCATGGCTTGGGTCAGGTGCACCTTAGTCCTCAAACTGACATCTTTGCTCTTGAACACTTTAAAGAAGTCTTGTGCAGCAGACCTGCTTAGTGCAATAGTTCTACAGAAAGGAAATGAAATTAATGTGATTGATACCCACACTTCTATTCGTTTGGTCATCAAGTTATGTTTACTCAGACAAACATCAATTTGATGGCTAGTCTTATAACGTAATACTTTGTAGCTGCACCATTTTTAACTTGGTGGTCACAAGATATGGTTTTCTTATAAGTGCTGTTATTATTCATTATTTTTGTAGTTGAAAATATATACAGAAAATATACACTAATTCAACAATTTCTCCATGGACAATTCAGTGATGTTGATTACATTCTTCAAATTGTGCAACTGTTTCTACCATTCTTGTCTGCATTATTCCTCCACCATTAACATAAGCTCACTGTGCCCTGAATTTCTATTTATCCTTTTGAATTGCTGTTAGAAATTTGGACCTCTGGTCCTGGGGTAGCATTGCAGGATAAGCAGTGGACTGCTAACTACAATGTCTGTGGTTTACCTCACCAGCCACTCCTTGGAAACCCTCTAGAGGGCTGCTATGAATCAGAACCTGGTCTACAACACTTAACAACAACAGCAAAATAGACTTGTAAAAGAGCACAATGCTCCCATTTGACCTAGCTTCAATGGCTGGATGATCAGAATTCGATTAGAGGAAGAAAGAAGAGGAAAAAAAGTGTAATTCAATACAATTTGATGAACTCGACATATATTTATGGATGTAGAAGCTTTAAAGAGGGAAAGAATCTTCACAGTACAGATTATTTCCACCTCCACTGTACACAGGGTTGACAGGGATGGCTAACTTAAACAGTGGATACCTAAAATGGAGGGCTATAGAGGCATGAAGTGACTGGCTTACAAGTTTTCAAGAGGGAGTTTCAGAGGGTGCAGGGGAAGGTAGAATCTCCACTGAGTGGTTTTCAACCTGTCAAGATGGGGCTGGTGAAAGGAGATGTGGATAAGACTCTTGTGGTTCAATAGTGAGTGAGTAATTGTTATCAGAACTGATTATGATTGTTGCAAATATAAAGGTAGATATTTTGTAACAAAAAGAGGGAGTGGTTGATCTTGTAGTCCAGGAGTGGAGGACCCTGGGACCATCAGGGGAGAAGAGCGGGAGCGGAGTGTGGGACCCTATTCAGAGAAATAGCAATGCCAGAGATGGAAGCAAAGATGATGACTTGGAGAGATGGAGCAGCTGGGGACTCTAGACCCAAGGAGGGAGAGGGGCCGTGTGCTGGTGGCTGGTGGGGGGGGCAGGTTTGCAGGGGTATGCCCTTTGGTTGGATGATTATATATTCCTGAGTGCTTTGTTGTACATCCAAAAACAAAACAAAACAAAAATCCAAACAGAGGCAATAGAAGCAAATGCTGTTGAATGATGATGTATGGAGGGGATTGTAATCATTGCAATGAAGCAAAATATGATAGGA